GCTGACGTAGAAACTTCAATATTTACAAGAGCTAGATCAGAGGTATCAAAGAGAATTTCACTATAAAAAGTACTTCCACCCTCTCTCTCTCCCTCTTTTTCTCTCTCCCCCCTCTCTCTCTTCCCTTCTCTCTTTTTTTCTTTCCTTTCTCCTCCTTCCTCTCCCTCTTTTCATAGCATGATTACATGAATATGGTCGGTAAGATAGTCCTCTCAATAAAGCAGAAAGGTCTAATGCAGCAACAACAGCAGCATCAACATGCAGCTGCTGCCGCGGCTGCTGCTGGTGGAGGAGGTCCTGGATGGACAGGTAATTGATTCCATGTACATGTACATTGATTCCCATTCCCATTCTCACAGGTATGGAAATGAGACAGATGGGAACCAATATGCCTCCAGGCGGAAACATGCTCCCCAATATGCCTCCAGGTGGAGGGGGTTACCCTTCCTTTCCACCAGGAGGTGGGGGTGGTCACATGCCTCCTTATGGTGGAGTTATGGGTCAACGTATGATGTCATATCCTGGCCCACCGCCCCCTCAACAGCAAATGATGCACACTATGCCCCCACATAATATGGGTGTGACAATGCGTCCGTTTAACATGATGAATAGAGCCCACCCACCTCCTCAGAGAGCTTCGTTAGCGACTAACATGCCTGGGTCTGGTGAACAGGTCGTCTCTGCCGTTCCTAATCCTTCGTTTCCTGCTCCAGCTGCTACTGGAGAGATACAGCATCCTCCTGGAGCTCCGTCACCATTTACTAATCATCCTTCACCTTATCATGCTCCTCCTTCTGTCCCTCCCCCTTCCTCTGTTCCTCCTCCTCAGTCTTCGGCTCAGCCTGCACAAGCTAACTCACCAAAACCTCCACAGGTATACATTGTACACATGTACTTATGTTGTGTAGAAAGTTTGAACTTATTCCGATCAAGTTTGGATTTTTTGTGAATTAGTTGCTCCAAATGCCATATACTGTATTGTAGCGCTTGTCAGCTCATGAAGTTCATCCTGTTTAGCTCACTTAGCATAGGAACTTAATTGTATGCATTGCATTTATATTTTTCAAATTGTTCATTTTTAGTCGGTCCCTTCCCCTCGTGTCAGTCACCCCATACCATCCCCTGGTACCCCATGGAATCCTAACTCTCCTTCAAACACGGCTAGTCCCAGTCAACCTCCACCACCCTCCAATCAGCCTAGCTTAACTCCCGAAGGATCAAATGCTGTTTTGCTCAAGTTGCAAGAGCTACAGTGTTACATTCCACTGCTGGCAAGGATGATCGATAGACTCCAGAGAGGAAATGAGAAGGACAAAGGGAGGACTGACCAATTGACGAAACTTACTAGCCTCTATAATGTACTCCAGAGCAAAAACATGAAGTAAGAGAGAGGGAGGAAAGTATTACTTTTTTATTCTCATAATTAGAGTTCCGCTACAGACTTTAGAAAAATGTCACATCGCATTGAAAAGGATATTTGAGAAGGACGCATCAAGTAAGTTATATACATTAAAACTCCCGAAAATGATAATTATTCTTTTTAAGAATGATCTTTAAAATTTTAATGAAATAACTTATTTATTTTCATATATTAGAAACTTTTTTATGCAGAAATTATTTTGGCATCCCAAAATTTTATTATTTGTGAAGTTTCATACCTTCCGACTGTATTTATATTGTATTATTCAATGTTCTCATTCTTTCTCATCTCATGTAGTTACATCACAGCCTCCACCAGCAGCCACTCAAGCTCCTCCTCAATCACAACCCACCACTACCAGTACTGCAACAGTCACTACTAATGTTGAAACTAGTAATAATGCTGTTACAACCACTGCCTCGTCTGTGACGCCACCACGCCCTCCTGTCCCGCCCACTCCGCCTTTATCGGCCTCAATGTCTCTTCTTGACTTTAAAATCCTTCATTCTCCCCCTCCTCTCTCTTCTTACCTCCAACCATTGCTGGAGGTAGAGAGGAGACAGATCCATG